ATTAGAAATTAAAAGTTAATAAAAATGGGTTAATTTGGATGAAGTGAACGCTGACCCCTCTTGTTCATAGGTCAGTATTGGTAGCCCTTCCTATGATTCAGTAGCCATGAAGTAGCCCTCAGCCTTGAAATGGTTGGTGACCCCTGGTTTAGAGTCTTGACAAAAACAGAAATGTTGGACTGCTAGTCTAAAATTCTAAGCATACCCCAAACATTTTCCTTACGATTAAGGTGAGGGTAATACCAGAATGTTGTTCTGCTTTGCCACTCTTAACTTCAAAACCAGTCCTGATGTGTGCTTGGGTCCATTATTGTTGTGTAGTTTCACCCTAAAAGACATCGATTTGTGTTATAATTTAAGAATTTAGAGGTACTCCTCATGATCTACAGTAATGTGCCTTCTATTTTATGGAAGGCACCACCGAAAGAGCTCAACATGATTCTACCTCCACCCTGCTTTGCAATTGGTTTTGGTCTCTCTCTTGTTTTTTCCTTAAAGGTTCAAACTGAAAAGCTCCATAAATTCTTATGGTCTCGAGCCTATTTCACACCAACAACACTGCAAAAACAATCTAGAAATAAGTCAAAATGTCTTAAATAAAGGGCATTTACCCTTAATTTGAGCAGAAAAATAAGAGGATTTGCCAATGGAATGAGGATTTTTACTCTCAGAATAAGGAAATTAGATGATATACACTTGAAATAAGACAATGAAACAGGGTTTTCCTTATTATAAATGTAAATTGTCTTGTTCCAATGGCAAATAGTTTCACTTACCTCCTCAATTCAACAAAAATCGCACTTGTTTTAGGAAAAAATGACTTATCTAGATTAAGATTTTTTCCAGTAAACCAAACCAGGGATCTTATTGGTAATATCCTGGATTATGTGGGAAAAAACCCAGAACTGATTTACTGGGTAAAACTGACCGCCATTTACCGGCTCGATACAGTATCCTACCTGCTACTGTACTGGCACTGCTCTAGTGTGAATAAAGACATTACATCACTGGGTAAGCCACACTTCGGCGTGTTAATTTTTAATTGACAAAGGGGATGGAAACATATTGAGCAACCCACCAGGTATTTTTTAAATTATGGTAAAATGGTAAATGGCCAAACAAATACAGGTTTGTTTAGTGCTTTATCGAGTCCAGGGGCTCCAACGCACTATACACCACTTTTAGTAAATCACCTGTTTACACCCTGATGGTGGCGAGCATTGTCGCCACAGCTCACCTGTGTCATGGTCTTGGTTCTGTTGTTCTTTACTTTGCTCCTTGTTTTCTAGTTTTATTGGTTTAATTCCAGTTTTGTTGTAATTTCTAGATTTATGTTAGTTCTCATGTTTTTCTGTTGTCCTCTTGTGTGTTTTCCTTTGCCTTTGGCTTCCTCGTTGCCTCCTCTCACACCTGCTCCTCGTCAGCTCGTTAGCCCTGCCTTTGTCTCTGTCAGCTATATATGCTCTCCCTCTGCTCTCACTCTTTGTTGGTTCCTTGTCTTTGTTGTCCTCCCATGCTGTTGNATAAAGACATTACATCACTGGGTAAGCCACACTTCGGCGTGTTAATTTTTAATTGACAAAGGGGATGGAAACATATTGAGCAACCCACCAGGTATTTTTTAAATTATGGTAAAATGGTAAATGGCCAAACAAATACAGGTTTGTTTAGTGCTTTATCGAGTCCAGGGGCTCCAACGCACTATACACCACTTTTAGTAAATCACCTGTTTACACCCTGATGGTGGCGAGCATTGTCGCCACAGCTCACCTGTGTCATGGTCTTGGTTCTGTTGTTCTTTACTTTGCTCCTTGTTTTCTAGTTTTATTGGTTTAATTCCAGTTTTGTTGTAATTTCTAGATTTATGTTAGTTCTCATGTTTTTCTGTTGTCCTCTTGTGTGTTTTCCTTTGCCTTTGGCTTCCTCGTTGCCTCCTCTCACACCTGCTCCTCGTCAGCTCGTTAGCCCTGCCTTTGTCTCTGTCAGCTATATATGCTCTCCCTCTGCTCTCACTCTTTGTTGGTTCCTTGTCTTTGTTGTCCTCCCATGCTGTTGTGAACCTACCTCGTCTCTCCCTGGCTCCTGGTGTTTGGTTTCCCCTGATGTCTCCATAGTTCTGGTTTGCTTTTGATTATTGGTTGGATTTTGCATTCCTGCCTTTGTTTACTGTTTTGCCCCATTAAACCTCTCTGCCTCTGCATTTGGGTCCTCCAAACCACAACCAAACCCTGACACCCTGGGGCTCGCTGACAGAAGCCAGGCACGGGCCCCTCTCTGTATAGTGCTTTCTGACCACCATTGGTAGGGCAATACAGTTGAAGCCTATTGACCAAGAAGACAAGAATTGACACAGAAAGAGCTGGAGTTTAAACAGACGACCCTCCTGTTGCAGGAAAAAATCCTACATCCTATAACTTTAAAATTGCTCAGACCAGGAAATAAAATAACTATTTTCTGTGCATTTTCTGTGATTGATTAATTTCATCTTTTTTTTACCTCTGTTCCACATTTTCCCATAAACTGCTCTGGTTTAACTCAAATGTGAAAAGTCAGCTGCCTGCTATTTGGAGCATGACCCAAACCCATCAGAGTAGGTTGGTCCATTCTAGCAGCTCTATGTTGTTATCACCGCTATTTTAACAGCCAGCTAATCTAATCCAACCAAACTTAATAAAATATAATCCCATTATATACTTGGAAAATTGGAGAAAACCCAGATCACACATAGCACAGGGAATCTCTGTGACCTTATTCACTGAAAGCCAACAGCTTTACCTTCATACCTTCCCTGTGAACACGAACACTGGCTATGGAAAGAGACTGTTTTAATTTAAGGATGTAATCGATAAAAGTCTACATACCATGGAAGAAATCATTTACCTCTGTGAATAAAAGACCTTTAACCACTTAGCTTCCACCGACCGGCCCGGGGAGTTTTGAAGTCACATTTTGTTTTGCATCAAAGAGCAGACTTATTTGGAAAGAAAAACCCAACATGTTGTACCTCTTTAGAATCAGGTGATCCTAAAGAAAACTACTATCAACTCAATGGTAAGCCAAATATCCTAACAAGCACCAATAACTTAGAATCTATAATCAAATTAGAACTGAAAAATTTCACTTCATACATTGTTAACATCTTCTTGGATTCTACTGTGGAATAAAATAGCTCATTTTGTCTGTAACACTCAACATAAAAGTAATATCCGGTTGTATTACCCATAAAATAAAATCATGTGTCGTAATAATCCACCACAGCTAACTTTTTTCCATATAAAAGTAAAAAATTTCAGAATAAAAGCTCATTTTTCTCAAGTCCAGTGAGGTATTTCTGCCATTTTGGGTTATACAGAATACGTTACATGGTCTTGTTCACCAAGTTTGCTCCCAAAATCAAAACCATAGTTCCTTTTTCAATATCCAGAGCATGTCAGAAACGTCCAGCATGAAAAAAAACGCAGTCTCAAGGAGCATGCGATGCATCTTCAACTCCTCAAATTAGTGAACAATCAAACTTCGACATATTTTGTTAGCCAATAAGATAAGCTTTGCAATAAAGGATTAGAAGTGTAGGGGCGGGCTTAAACAATCATGCTTATTGATGTGCATAAAGAGTGAAAGGAGAAATGGATATACTAAGAGTTTAAATTCTGAAAGCTGAAAAGTTTCAATATTTTAAAAGAAAGTGCTTGAATGAAAATTTGTTTAAAGCTAAATGTGAAAATAGTTTTTGTATGGTGAAATTAATCAGAAAATTTGAATAATCCAGTTTGCCGCTTTTG